CTGCCACGTGCTAGGAGGTTTTTTGGGAAGCTGCCTGCTGCTAGCACACTGCCCTGGGCTTCGACTGCTCTGTTTTCCACACAGCACGCACCGAGTAGCTCTCGTTTGACCAAACACATCCTCCAGCACTCACCCGCTCGTTTTTGTGCAATGGCTCAATTTGCAAATGCTCAGGGGCAGATCCTGACCCCAGCAGTAATTGTAAGGACCTGAAGCCACAAGCTGGGTGAAGCAATACTGGATTTACACTAGAATGGGGAGCTGTCCCTCAGCTAACCATCTCCTTCTCCAATACCACCTCCTGCCACGCCGCCGGAGAGCACTGAAAATTGCCACCCCTTCTTCCATTTCCTCGGGCGATTCGCAGAAACTTCCCCCAGGACTCCCCGGCGAGGGCTGGCTCGCGGCCCTACCCGTGCCGCCCCAAGGCAGGCTCCCCACGGTACCCCAATGCAAACCACCCTCCCGACGACGCCCGCCTGGCCCCGCGGGACAGAAGGGGGTAGGTGCTTCGGATAGGAATCCCTGCAGAAACCGAAGCCAGAGCTCAGCTGTTGTAGTCAGTGCCATTACACTGATTTACCCAAGCAAAGTTACTGGGGCCCTTTACCTTCAATATGATAGCGTTTCCCCTGCACTGCACATTATTTTATATATTCGGAGTACCACGTCACTGTTAGATGGGCAACGTCATCGGGCGCTCTCTCTTCCCCGTAACGTTTCCAGGACTGCAAGCCAGCACGGTCTCTGCAGAGGAGAACACCCAGCTGACGGCTTACCAAAGGCGCATGCAGCTACTGGATCATTCCGCAAGTGCTCCAAAAGTACTCAATCTAAAAAGAAGAGAAGAAAAATGTTAAAATGTGTTTAAAGGTAGCAAAAGCTGCACGACTGCTGTTCATGAAGTTTTGGTGGTCTCCCGGCTAAATCGCAGAATGTACTCAGCTTTGGGAACGTGTGTCATTATGCGTGCGGCGCGGCTGTTGGAAAAATGATGGAAAAATTACTTGGGAAAATATAGGCTTGTTTCCCTCTAGTGTCTTAGAGATTGAGGCGAAAAAGAGCCAGAGCGCAAACCTTCATATTAAAAAAAAGCCTCCAGAAAACAAAATGCCACTACATGGTTGTTGTAAAAGCTAAAAGACGGTTACGTCTACTACCTGGAACATTAGCTATGAATTTTCTGTTTTCTTCATTCCATGCAACTTCTGGACAACCCCTTTTCTTGCTTACTGTAATAAAGTGACTTTCTGTAAGCACAGGCATTTTTTAATTATCGCATGCTGACCGCAGCCTTCTTTTTAAGGAGCACTGCGTACTACGTTCAGGGCAAATACAACAGCTAGTTTTAACAGCGGAGGAGCAATCTTTTATAGTAGAAGGCAAGGCCAACTTCCTCGTACAGACGGAGCAGCAACAATTTGGGGTTACCTCTGAGGCTCCCCTAAGAGGATCTGGGCCACGTAAGTCTGGCTGACCTACAGCGTGTTGGCACCAATGAAAGTTGCAGTGGGTAGTTTGACTAACTGCGTTTGTTAAGCGGGGTGAATAATATATCCCTTTCCTCACCTTAGTGGCTTGGTATGAAGTCACCTTGGAGATGCGTATCACAACTCATTTGAAAGCACATGGCATGTGAGTAAATTACACGGTGCTGCGCATTTTGAGGGATTGCAGCCTCGCACGAGGACTGGGAACATGTGACAGAAATAGCGTGATGTTTTTCTTCTGTCGCGTGTTATTTCCGATAGCGTCCCGAGTAACAGAGAAATAAAGGACACGCGAGGATTGTTTGGGCATTTTCTCCTGGAAGCGCAGCTAAAGTCTTAGCTTTTTACTTTATAGTCTTCCTCGCGTGATGTTTTTTTCAACCTGGTTCCCAAGTTGAGCAGCTGGGGAGGCAGGTAAACACACAGAGACGAAGAGAGCGTGGACGTCCTCCTGTGTGAAAGGATTTAATCTCACAGGAAGACGCTGTGAACTGCCTGGATCCGTCCCCTGCAGGAACCCGGGCAAATCCCGGGGGTCCTCTCCCATCCAAACTGAACGCTTTTTGTCTCGGCATCTCTACAAAGACACATACGGCCCACGGCGTGAGAGAGGGGCTGCCGCTTTGTCGCTTGATGCCCATTCCTCCTCTCCGCTGCGTTCGTTGGTTTGTTGGTGCCCAAGTCCTATCATCTGACGTGAGAATCGAACGTTGCTGTCACGTCCACCGCGGTCGCTGGGGTCACGCACCCTGTGACAGAAAGCGGATCCAGAGCCCCCGACTCTCTCTGATCTTAGATGAGCAGGGGCAGGATGAGGCAAAGGTCAAATTCAGGCCCGGTGGGGGCAAACTGAGCAGAAATGGTGCACAAAGGAGTTCTGGATTCTTCTCTGAGCCAATACGACTTTTGTGTGGGGCCGGTCACCTGCTCCCCAGAAAAGGCTCTTTGCCCGGCTGCTGGAGGGACCCTTTACTGTCAGTCAAACTGCGCGCAGGTTTGCGTTGCTGAGCGCCGGAGCAGAGCACAGGGGCTTCGGCACAAGCGAGACTCACAGTATTTCCCCTGATGTGAATGGTTTTCCTTCTGATTCACCCCACCATTAGGAAGAGGAGGGCATCTGGTGCCACCATGCCACAGCTGAGTTGTTGCCTAGTGCCCTCTCATCGGTGCATCAGCAGGTGAATTTTCTTTACCTAGTTGCAGTCATTTCGTATGTGAAGAAACAATGAATCACAAAGAGAAGCCTACAGCAATTGGAAACTCCTTTCCTCTCACCTTTGCCAAAGCTAGATGTTTTCCCTAGAACAAAGCCCCGGCAAGCCTTCCTACGCACAACAATGATTACGTAGATCGCTCTGGATCTTGTTTTTTTCGGAGGCCGTGAGCAAGCAAAGAAACTCAGGAGAACGCTCTATTTCACGGGCATGTTTGTTATGCTTCCTTGGAAATCCCATTGTTTGCTGCAGTGCCTGCTTTTGGCTACAAGTGCTGTGCCCTCGTGACGTCGGCTGCCTTAAATTGTGCCAGGGTGCTAGCAAATAAGCATGGAATTTGGCAAACTAAAAAGGTGCCACTGGAATAAGTCAGTCCTGGCAGTTTGGGCATTCATTTCAATCTGCTGAAGTGGGATCGGTTGGTAAGTGCTTCGCCAGGCTGCTTCCAGCCACACGTGTCCATCCGTCAGCGAAACCTGTGCAGGCGGTACCCCTCGTGTCCCCTCTTCCTTGCGTGTGTCCCCGGCAGGCTGGAGCGCGGGGCCAGCGCTTTCCTAGGAGAGGACTGCTGAGACACACCGCATGAGTAAGGTCTTGTTTGCATAAAGATTGCACATTCATGCTGTGAAGGAGGTTTCCTAGGCACAGTCTCATTTCCTTCTGCAGGCAGGTTTGCCTTCATGTAGGAAAAACCCTATTCTTGAAGTCCTTGGACAGAAACCAGTTTACATTGGCACGCCACAACGCCGTCCTCCAGGCATGTTTGGGTCCGCCCAAGTCTGACTGCATGGAGGCGCGTTCTGCCCCTCTGAAGCAAAAGCGAGCCTTCGCTTCGAGTTGGATTCAGGCATCCCGCTCGCACGGGCCGTGCTTTGCTGACAAGAGTCTCATTCCACTCCGAAAAGGCTTTTCATTGTCACCGACGCACCGGCGTCTGCAGGAGCAGAGGTCTGCTTCGAATGGGGAGGGAAGAACCCGGAGGTGGCAAACGCAGGGCTGCGCGCTTTGGTCTCCACCACTCAAGGCTTTCCTCGAAGCGTAGAGCTCAGCTCGG